AGGAGGAGGAGGAGGAGGAGGAGGAGGAGGAGGAGGAGGAGGAGGAGGAGGAGGAGGAGAAGAAGAAGAAGAAGAAGAAGAAGAAGAAGAAGAAGAAGAAGAAGAAGAAGAAGAAGAAGAAGAAGAAGAAGAAGAAGAAGAAGAAGAAGAAGAAGAAGAAGAAGAAGAAGAAGAAGAAGAAGAAGAAGAAGAAGAAGAATAATAATAATAATATTGGTTCTTGGGGCTCTCTGAGCTACTTGCAGATGTTTCATGACCCAACTAAGCAACATCATCACATCTGCAAGAAAATATTTGCAAGAAAACAACAAAGCTCAGAGAGCACCAAGAACCACACAATTCTCCACACAATTCTCCTCCTCCTTGCCCTTCCATTCTGCAACCCTCCCTTCCCTTCTAACATTGATGATGCTCCCTAGTTGGGTCATGAAACATCTGCAAGAAAACAATCAAGTTCAGAGGGCACCAAGGACCCCCCAGTTATTGACCATCTCCTCCTGCTCCTCCTCCCGCTCTTCATCCTGCTCCTCTTCCTCTCCACACACACCCCTCCCTTCTAGCACTGATGATGTTGCCAAGTTGGGTCATGAAATGTCTACAAGAAAACCACCAAGCTCAGAGAGCCCCAAGGATTTCATAGTCCTCCCTCCTCCTGGTCCAGTTCCTCCTCTTTGTAAATCCCATTCCTTTCTAGCACTGATGAATTTCCTTAGTCAGGTCATGAAACTTGTACCAGGAACCATCAAGGTCAGATAGTACCAACCAAGTTCAGACACCACAAATAGGTATATAAAATAAAGATCCAGTCATTCGTGCATGACCTTAAGTGAACAAAATTGACTCCCCCTGACCTTTGACAAGCACAGATGCTGTGGTCTGCTGATCCTCGGTTTGACAGGTATAGTGGCCTGAATCCTCCACTTGCGCCTCATGGATTAGCAGCTCCACATAGGATGCCTTTTGTCTCATCTCATACTTATGACTTGGCTGCAGTTGGGTGGAGCCTTTCATCCACTGGACGGGCACGTCGGGTTTCGTGAGTGCCGTGGCCAGGATGACTGTTGCCCCTTCCTTGACTTCCTGGTTCTCCAGCTGGACTTGAAAAAGGGCTGGACGGACTGAGAGGGCTGCACCAGGGAAAAGAAGAGAGAGGGGTGAGCTTTCGTCATAGATGTGATATGTGTTATGTGTTTTTAATACAAGGTATGGAGGAGGAGGAGGAGGAGGAGGAGGAGAGGGAGATCCATAACTCAGAAGTCTAACTTCAACTACATTGGAAAATAAGAAAAGTGAGAGCATTTGGCCTAGGGATCAAGGCACCCAGCTAGAAACTGCGAGGCAGTGAGTTCTAGTCCTGCCTTGGCATCAAAGCCAGTGGGTGACTTGGGACCAATGACCAGGAAACAAGGAATTCTAGTGCTGCCTTAGGCATGAAAGTTAGCTGGGTGAGTTTGGGCCAATCAGGAGGAAATGGTGAGTTCTAGTCCTGCCTTAGGCATGAAAGCCAGCTGAGTGATTTTCAACCAATCACTGGGAGATAGTGAATTCTAATCCCGCTTCAGGCATGAAAGCCAGTTGGGTGACTTTCTGCCAATCACCAGGAGACATGGGTTCTAGTCTCGTCTTAGGCAAGAAAGCCACCTGGAGCCAGTTACTCTCTCTCAGCCTGAGCTATGTAACAGGGTTGTTGTTGAGGGGAAAATAAGAGGTAGAAGGTGTGTTGGATATGTTTGCTGTCTTGAATTATTTGTAAATGGCCTAAGGCAGGACTAGAACTCCCAGTCTCCTGGTGATTGGCCCAAAGTCACTCAGCAGCCTTTCATGGCTAAGTGGGACCAGATCTCAGTCTCCTGAGGACTGGCCCAAAGTCCCCCAACTGGGTTTCATGCCTAAGGCAGGATAAGAACTCGCCATCTCCTGGTGATTGGCTCAAAGATTCCCAGCTGGCTTTCAGGCCTAAGGCAGGACTAGAACTCGACGTCTCATTGTGATTGAACCAAAGTACCCAGCTGGCTTTCATGCTTAAGAACACACTGTCTCCTGGGCTTCATGTTTAAGGCGAGACTAGAACTCACCATCTCCTTGTGACTGAATCAAAGTCGCCCAGATGGCTTTCAGGCCTAAAGTGGGACTAGAACATACCATCTCCTGGTTTCTAGCCTGCTGCCTCAACCAGTAGACCAAACTGACTCTCTGTGGTAAAGAATGGTAAAAAGAGCATCATATCCACGCAGCACAAGCCCCACCCCTTTTGCCTGCATGATATTGCACATGCATTTGTTGAAGCAAAGTATATGGCTCAAACACGTATACTGTTGCTTTCATTGTTCTGAAGACAACAATATCTCACAAACTCCCAGGAGTTGAGCAAAGTCAAAAGAATAATTAAGAAAAAATAGAGATAGTCCCCGATTTACAATCCTTTGTTTGTTCAAAGCTACAACAGCACTGAAAAAAGTGACTTGGGACCATTTTTGACACTTATGACTGTTGCAGCATCCCCATGGTCACGTGATCAAAATTCGGGCACTTGGTAACTGGCTCATATTTATGATGGTCACATGATCCCCTTTTGTGACATTCTGACAAGCAAAGTCAATAGGAAAGCCAGATTCACTTAACAACCGTGCGACTAACTTAACAATGGCAGTGATTCACTTAACAACTGTGGCACGAAAGGTGGTCAAGTGGGACAAAACTCACTCAACAACTGTCTCACTTAGCAACGGATGCTTGGGGCTCAACGGCCATTTGCAACCTTTCCAGCCGTCTTCCAACAAGCAAAATGACTGAGGGAACACAGATTTGTTTATTGATCATCTCACTCACTGAACCACAGTGATTTGCTTGACAAAAACATGGTGAAATTGGGCACAGCTCACTTAGCAATGGAAATGCTGGACCCAATTGTGGCCGTAAGTTGAGGACTACCTGTAGGAATGGCTGGGTACTTTAGGACGAAAGCCCATTAAGGCAGACACTTGAAAGGATTAAAACTATTGCGAGTTTTGATTAATAAATCTTTTACCTTCCACCGATAATGTGGCCATGCTTCTCCCGTGGCCAATATCGCAAATATATTTTCCAGAATCTCTTCGAGTTACACCATAAATCTTTAGAATATGGGTCGTTCCCCGCTGACTGATTTCGTACTTGGCGCTCGGAGCGATGACTTCCGAGCCTTTTTTCCAGATGGCAGAGACGTTGGGCATAGAGACTTCGCATATGAGGAAAGCTGCGCTACCTTCTTGCAATTCTAGATTGCTCAGCTCTTGTTGAAAGTCAGGATGCAGGGCTGGAATGGAAAGTGAAAAAAAAATTGCAAGAACTGGCAAAAAACAAAACAGAGTCCGCTTTCAAACTTCTCATGTAGACAGGATTTAAACTAAAATCCTATGTACAATTTTGGAAAGAAGTTTAGGTTTTGGTATGTGTGAATTTCAAAACAATAAATTAAGAGAGACAGGTACACATATACACACAGAATTCTGTCTGTCCAGAATTCAGTTTACACAAAAAGACAGACAGACAGACAGACAGACAGACAGACAGACAGATCTACCTGTCTGTCTGTTTGTTTGGCTGTCTGGGTCCCTGTGTACGTCTGTGTGTATAACTCTGAATTCTTAATTATTTCTTTTAGATTCACACACAGAGAGATGATAGATAGATAGATAGATAGACAGACAGACAGACAGACAGACAGACAGACAGACAGACAGACAGACAGACACAGAATACATAAATAAATGATAGATGATAGAGAGATATAGGTATAGATAGATGATAAATGATATAGATATACATAGATATAGATAAATATATAGATATAGATGATAGATAGGTATCTATCTATCTATCTATCTATCTATCTATCTATCTATCTATCTATCTATCTATCATCTTATCTATCTATCCATCTAAAATAGATAAAATGATAGATTGATGACAGATAGATAGATAATACATAATAATATAGATGAAACAGACAGGCAGATTTTTTATCTAGATTTTTGCATAGCTTTTTAAAAAAATTGTAAGTGTTTTTCTATTTATTTTTTGATATTGTAAGCAACCCAGAGTTACCTTATCAGGGTGATGGGCAGTTTATAAATTTACTAAATAAAATAAATAAATATGGGTGGAGTAGATTGTTAGCACAGTTCATCAATGGATAGAAAACAGAATAACAAGACTTGGAAGGGACCTTAGAGATCTTCTAGTCCAACCCCCTGCTCAAGCAGGAAACCCCACACCATTTTGGATAAACAGAACACCCACAACTTCTGGAGGCAGGTTGTTCCACTGGTTAGTTTTTCTCACTGTCATTTTTTTTAAATCTGTCTTTCTTATATTATCCCCTTCTGTATAGTAATCAACACAACTGAGATGCTTAATCATTTCTGATAGCAACTCCTTTAATGGAGCTCACTGTACCGTCCACTCGGAGCCTCGCTGTGGAGGTGTATGGTCCCACCCGGAAAGTGATGGTGCCAGAATCCTGCTGTGTGACGTTGCGCAGTGTCAATTTGTGCACTCGTCCTCTCTCGACCGAGATCTCATTCATCTGGTTGCTTTGAAGCGACAAATCTTGCAACTTCCACTCCACGTCTTTTGCGTTGTCGTGGGAGACTTCGCATTCGAAGGTGACTTCTTCCTCTTCCAAAACCTCCGCGCTTTTCAGTCCCCGGATGATGGTGATGTCCACTTCTACAAGGGCCAGCAGATCCCTCAGTGACAGCGACAACATAGAGACCATACAACGTACACCCATAACCCGTTGCCGGTGGAATTCAGATTTGGGCTTCATCCCTGTTAACTACCGGCAGTCCTAGACTTACAACCAAAACTGGAATGAGAATTTCCATTGCTAATAATCAAGGCTGTTTTTAAGTGAGCCCTGTCCAATTTTACCATCTTTTTGGCCACAGTTGTTAAGCAAATCACTGCAGTTAAGTGAATCACACGGTCATTAAGTGAATCCAGCTTCCCCCATTGACTGTGTTTGTCAGAAGCTGGCTGAGAAAGATGCCAACTTTTGATCACATAAGTGTGGGGATGTTGCAAAATCGTATATGCGAGGACCAGCCACAAGTCCCTTTTTTCAGTGTCATTGTAATTTCGAATGGTCACAAAACGAATGGTTGTAAGTTGAGGACTACGTGTAACTTACCAACGCATATTCTGCAGTTTCCACAAGAAACAAAAATGCTGCCTTTGGTGAAGAATTCTTAGATCAGAGAATTTTGTGTTCCCTCTTATAACATTCTAGATCCGTGGTGGCAAACCTATGGCACCCGTGCCACAGGTGGCACTCAGAGCCCTCTCTGTGGGCACACGTGCCGTCACTCCAGTCCTAGGCCTTCAGCTGGGTTTTACAAAACCTTTTCGCTTTAGGCTTCCGCTGCCGTGTGGAAAAAAAAGTTAAATCAATCAATTTCAACTTCTTGCAGGGAAAAAAAAGATCTTGCAAAGTTGGGATTGATTGATTGAACTTTTTAGTCTCACCCAGTCTGCCATTACCACCACAGCCACCCAATGGGCCATGCCCACCCAATTGGCCACACCCACCCAATGGGCCATGCTCACCCGGCACTCGACGATACATAAGTGGGTTTTGGGTTGCAGTTTGGGCACTCGGTCTCTAAAAGGTTCGCCATTACTGTTAGACATTACAGCTGCAAAGGTTAACCTGAAGGATTAAGGCCAAAACCAAAGGACCTTTTTTTAAAGTCATAGCAGGTTGATTAGATGGGTGCTTCGGGTTTTATTTGCCACGTCAAAAGATGTTGACCAACCTCAATGCAGCAACCCCCAACCAAGGAATCAAGTTTCAAACAAGTCTCATAAATCAAGTTTCATGCTAGGAAAAATAGGATACAGAATTTGGGAAACTGAAGAAATAAAACACCAACCATCCTTTATTTGGTCTAGTGATGAAGGCACCAGGCTAGAAACTGGGAAATCGGGAGTTCTAGTCCCGCCTTGGGCATGAGGGCCGGCTGAGTGACTTTGGGATAATCACCAGGAGACTGGGAGTTCTAGTCCATACTTAGGAATGAAAACCAGCTGGGTGACTTTTGGACAATCACTAGGAGACTGGGAGTTCTAGTGCTGCCTTAGCCATGAAAACTGGCTAGGTGACTTTGGGACAATTACCAGGAGACTGGGAGTTCTAGCCTACTTAAAAAAAAAACATACCTTGCACAGATAACGTGGCAGATGTGGTTTGGTCTCCAATGCTACACAAATACTCGCCACTGTCTTGGAGTTGCAGGTTGTGAATGAGTAACTCATGGATGCCCCCATCCTGTCGTATGTCATATTTGGGGCTAGCATGAATTCTTACAGTGCCTTTGCGCCATTCCACGGGGGCTTTAGTGACTGTGACTTCACAGTGTAATCTGGCTGTGCTTCCCTCATCCGCTTTCTCATCCTTCAGCCGTTCGGTAAATTCAAGTTTGAGGACTGCAGGGTCAAAAGGAATGGAAGCAAGTAAAACATTTGGCCCTTCTTCTATTAAGCTCAGATATTACTAACTTAGCTTCCATCAAGCTCAGAGAGCACCAAAAAACCCACATTCCTCCCTGCAAAACCCACTTTCTTCTAGCAGTGATAACGATACCTAGTCGGGTGATGGAACGTCTGCAAGATAATTTCCAAGCTCAGAGAGCACTAAGAATCCCAGAGGAGTCCTCCTCCTCCTCCTCCTCCTCCTTCTTTTCCTCCTCCTCCACTCTGCAAACCCCCCCTCCCTTCTAGCACTGGTGATGTTCCCTAGCTGGGTCATGAAAGGTCTGCAACAAAACCGCTAAGCTCAGAAGCACTAAAGACCCCAGAATTCAATCCTGAGCTACAAATATTGATTCATTTCAAGCATTGAAAAGATCTTTGATCTGATTTCCATTTATGTAGCGCACATGACAGAAAATGGAATACTTTTTTTTCATTAAATTTGATTTGATAGCTCAAATCAGCTTTGCAAATTCTATTTGGAAAGTCAGCTCAACTGACTATTCAGCTGAACTGAATATTTGCACAACCCTATTGTGAGGCTAATTGTGGAACAGATTTATTTCAATTTAATTTCAGTAACACATCTGAACAGAATTGCACTGAATTGAATTGCCCAGCAGATGGAAAAGGACATAATTTAAATCTCTCCTTTTCTATATTTTTAGCTACATCGCAGATAGAAATCTGCTTCCTGTCTCAAGATCAGACTTTATGACACGGTAACCATATTTATTTTTTAAAATGTTAACTAATTAAAACCCAGTTTCAAACAGAACCAAATTCAAACTGAAATGTATCTTTTCATGCTCACATGTCCTTATCAGAGTCACATAAGTGAGATGGGTCATAGAGAAATTTCATAATCAAATAAAAATATTTTGTACCTTCACAACAACAAACAACATATTCAGAAGGTCTCTATGGTTTTGATAGAAAGTGAAAGTTGTTAAAATATAAAAAATCAGACATAAATTTCTATGAATTTGGGGGGGGGGGTTATGTTTGTAATTGCGCCGGCCTATGAATCACACTTCTATTGCATCCAAGTACAGGTAGTCCTCGACTTACGACCACAGTTGAGCCCACAATTTCTGTTGATAAGTGAAACATTTGTTAAATGAATTTTGGCCCATTTTACAACCTTTCTTACCACATTTGTTAAGTGAATCACTGTATTTGTTAGGTTAGTAACATGGTTATAAAGTGAATCTGTCCTCCCCATTGACTTTGCTCATCAGAAAGTCGCAAAAGGGGATCACGTGACCCCAGGACACTGCGGCCGTCATAAATATGAACTATTTGCCAAGTGTCTGAATTCTGATCACATGACCAAGTAGTTGTCAGTGTGAGAGATGGTCATAAGTGCGTTTTTCTGAACCGTTGTTAACTTTGAATGGTTACTAAATGAATGGTTGTAAATCAAGGACTACCCGTAATGCCTTTTACCACTGAAAGGGCCTCCAGAGAAAATTCCACAGATTGATTTGGGAATTTATATCACCTAATTCAAGAAAATGCAGATTACAAATTCTGCCGCTAAGCATTGTGCACTTAATTAAATGTTGAAAAGCTTAGGGAGAAACAAACCTGCATGTCAATGAAGGCTACAATAAACCATTAAAATACAAGGAGTCCTTGACTTACAACCATTTAGCGACCGGTCGAAATTCCAACACCACTGAAAAAGGCCTGACAACCGGTCCTCAACGTACGACCGTTGTGGCATCCCCAGGGTCACTTGGTCAAAATTCGGGTGTTTGGCAATTGGCATGTAGTTATGACGGCTGCAATATCCTGGGGTCACTTCATCGCCATTTGTGACCTTTCCAGCTGGCTTCCAACAAGCAAAGTCAGTGGGGGAAAAGCCAGATTCACTTAATGACTGTATGATTCCCTTAACTGCAATGTTCACTTAATGACTATGGTAAAAAGAGTCCTAAAAATTGGCGCAAATCACTTAACAACTGGCTTGTTTGGTGACATTCTGGTCCCAATTGTGGTTGTAAGTTGAGGACTACCTGTAGGATACAAACTCCCTCAAACAGGGAGCACCAAGGATCTCACAGTCTTTCTCCTCCTCCTCTCTGCAACCCCCCCTCCTTTCTCTCACTGATAATCTCACTGGTAATCTGTGGCAGACCGCCTTCTGCCACAGATTACCTCCCATCGGCCAGTACGCTCCCACAGGGTGGGTCTCCTCAGGGTGCCGTCGGCCAGACAGTGCCGGCTGGCGACCCCAAGGGGGAGGGCCTTCTCTGTGGGAGCTCCCACCCTCTGGAATGAGCTGCCCCCAGAGATCAGGGTGATCCCTGATCTCCCTTCCTTCCGCCGNGCCTCCTCCTCCTCCTCCTCCTCCTCCTCCTCCTCCTCCTCCTCCTCCAAACCGTGAGATTGGGAGTTCTAGTCCCACTTTAGGCATGACTTTGGGCCAATCACCAGGTAATGGTGAGTTCTAGGCCGCTTTAAAAAACCCATACCTTGCACAGATAATGTGGCAGAAGTGGTTTGGTCTCCAACGCTACAGGAATATTCTCCACTGTCTTGGGGTTCCAAATTATGAATGATTAACTCATGGATGCCACCATCTTGTCTGATGTCATATTTGGGACTAGTGTGCATTCTTGCACCATCTTTGCGCCACTCTGCTGCAGCTTTAGGGACGGTCACCTCACAGCGAAATCTGGCCGTGTTCCCCTCGTCCACTTTCTCATCCTTCAACCACTGTGTGAATTCTGGCTTGAGGGCTGCAGAGGTCAAAATAACGGCAGAGTTTGTTTTTTTTTTTAAAAAAAAATACAATTCTTTCATTAAGTGGCAGTTCCCACCGATTTCTGAAAAATAGAAGCTGGGAAAATTGGTTGTACAGGACCAATGGATACTTGTATGTCCCAGGAAGTAAAAAACGGTTAGTGACAAAATATTGTTCATTTCCCAAAGATGCTTTTTCAGGGGACAACTGGACTTTATTGTTTTTCTTTGAAGATGTTTTGCTTCTCATCCAGCTCTGACTGGATAGTGGGGAATGGAAGGATTTATACTCCTTGCAGTCAGCCGGTCATTTGCCTTCTTTAATTTAGAGAGTTATTAAGACCACTTGAAGGCTTACCTGTGTCCTCAGGGTCACCTGAGTGGTGTAAATGGGTGTGAAGCCTTCTTGGAACTGGCTCCACATTCATTTCCATTACATGTCCCTGGGGATGCAGCAATGATCATAAGTGTGAACAAGGGTCTTAAGTCACTTTGTTCAGTGCCGTTGTAACTTTGAATGGTCATTAAATGAACTGTTGTGACCCGTGGACTACCTGTATATCAAATCCACTGATTAATAAAATAGCTTCTTCCTCTCTCTATCTATCTACAGTATGTATTAACAAAATTAAGGGGAGTTCTCAACTTAGAGAACCATTCAAATTTACAATAGCAAATTTGTGCTTATGATTATTGCATCATCCCCATGATCATATAATCAAAATTTGGGTGCTTGACAATTGGCACATATTCACAATGGTTATACTGTCCTGGGATCACGTGATCACCGTTTGTGACCTTCCCAACCGGCTTCCGAGGAGCAGAGTCAATGGGAGAAGCTGGATTCACTTAGTGACTGCATTATTCACAGTAAAAATAGTCCTAAAAATGTGCACAAATCACTTAACAACTGCTTCGTTTAGCAACAGAAATTCTGGGGCCAATTGTGGTCATAGGTTTAATTTAATTTAATTTAATTTAATAATTTAATTTATATACCGCCCTTCTCCCGTAGGACTCAGGGCGGTGCACAGCATATTAAAACAGATACAAACAAAATACATCAAAAAACAAAAAAAAAACCCCATAAAACCAAATTAAAAGCCAAATATTGGAAGCTGTGTGTCAATTAAAATTTTCTTAAAATCATCCCTACCTAAAATCCTCCCTAGGTCAGGCCCGCTTGCTGGAAAAGGACTCTTTGTAAGGTATGTATCTTTCCAGATATTTAAATTTAGTAGCTGGAGCAGTGAGCCAGAACACACCGAGTTGCGGTTGATTAGCTGAAGAGAGCTGGCCACTGGATGAGGCAATCTGCACTGTGATTGGTTGTTGTGAGTGAAAAGGGGACGTTCCCTTGTTTCCCGCCTTTTTTCTTCTGTGCGCCCTTTTGTGCTCTATAATTTTACCTCATGATGTTCCTGCTGTGTCGATTTACCTCATGATGCTCCTCTTTGCCTGACTATCTATACTGTGTATATATATTGATGGAAAACATATTTACTTATATAAAACTAGAAGTTCCTGCCAGCCTCTCTGATTCCATTTGGACACCGGCTGTGCAATTCCCTGACAGAACCCTTTTAAAAAACCCATACCTTGCACAGATAACATGGCAGATGTGGTTTGGTCTCCAACAATGCACGAATACTCTCCGCTGTCTTCGGGTTCCAGGTTAAGAATGAGTAACTCATGGATGCCCCTATTCTGTCGGATGTCATATTTGGGACTAGCGTGAATTCTTGCACCATCTTTGCGCCACTCTGCTGGGGCTTTTGGGAGAGTCACCTCACAGCAAAACCTGGCCGTGCTGCCCTCATCTGCTTTCTCACCCTTCAGCTGCTGCGTGAATTCTGGCTTGAGGGCTGCAGAGGTCAAAACAAATCGGAGAAAATTTTTAAAAATTTTTAAAAAGTTCCTGCCAGCCTCTGATTCCATTTGGACACCGGCTGTGCAATTCCCTGACAGAACCCCTTTAAAAAAAAACATACCTTGCACAGATAACATGGCAGATGTGGTTTGGTCTCCAACGATGCACGAATACTCTCCGCTGTCTTCAGGTTCCAGGTTAAGAATGAGTAACTCATGGATGCCCCTATTCTGTCGGATGTCATATTTGGGACTAGCGTGAATTCTTGCACCATTTTTGCGCCACTCTGCTGGGGCTTTTGGGAGAGTCACCTCACAGCAAAACCTGGCCGTGCTGCCCTCATCTGCTTTCTCACCCTTCAGCCGCTGCGTGAATTCTGGCTTGAGGGCTGCAGAGGTCAAAACAAACCGGAGAAAATTTTTAAAAATTTTAAAAATTTCCTGCCAGTCTCTCCATCCATTTGTGCAATTCCCTGACAGAACCCTTTTAAAAAAAACATACCTTGCACAGATAACATGGCAGATGTGGTTTGGTCTCCAACGATGCACGAATACTCTCCGCTGTCTTCGGGTTCCAGGTTAAGAATGAGTAACTCATGGATGCCCCTATTCTGTCGGATGTCATATTTGGAAGTAGCGTGAATTCTTGCACCGTCTTTGCGCCACTCTGCTGGGGCTTTTGGGAGGGTCACCTCACAGCAAAACCTGGCCGTGCTGCCCTCATCTGCTTTCTCACCCTTCAGCCGCTGCGTGAATTCTGGCTTGAGGGCTGCAGAGGTCAAAACGAATGGGAGAAAAATTTTTAAAATTACATTTTTTTTATTAAGTGACAGTTCCCACCAATTTCTGAAAAATAGAAACCTGGGAAAAATTGGTTGTACAAGACCAACGTATGTTTGATGTCCCAGGAAGTAAATATGTTTAAGATTAAACATTATGGATGCCCTGTCCAATTTTACAACCTTTTTGGCCACAGTTGTTAAGCAAATCACTGCAGTTAAGTGAATCACGTGATCGTTAAGTGAATCCAGCTTCCCCCATTGACTGTATTTGTCAGAAGCTGGCTGAGAAAGGTTGCAAACAGTGATCTGCAAATATCATAAATACTTGCTGCTTGCCAAGTGCTCAACTTTTGATCACATAAGTGTGGGGATGTTGCAAAGTCATATGTGCAAGGACCAGCCACAAGTCTCTTTTTTTCATTGTGACTTTGAATGGTCACAAAACGAATGGTTGTAAGTTGAGGACTACGTGTAACTTACCAACGCATATTCTGCGGTTTCCACAAGAAACAAAAATGCTGTCTTTGGTGAAGAATTCTTAGATCAGAGAATTTTGTGTTCCCTCTTATAACATTCTAGATCCGTGGTGGCAAACCTATGGCACCCGTGCCACAGGTGGCACTCAGAGCCCTCTCTGTGGGCACACGTGCCGTCACTCCAGTCCTAGGCCTTCAGCTGGGTTTTACAAAACCTTTTCGCTTTAGGCTTCCGCTGCCATGTGGAAAAAAAAGTTAAATCAATCAATTTCAACTTCTTGCAGGGAAAAAAAAGATCTTGCAAAGTTGGGATTGATTGATTGAACTTTTTAGTCTCACCCAGTCTGCCATTACCACCACAGCCACCCAATGGGCCATGCCCACCCAATTGGCCACACCCACCCAATGGGCCACGCTCACCCGGCACCCGACGATACATAAGTGGGTTTTGGGTTGCAGTTTGGGCACTCGGTCTCTAAAAGGTTCGCCATTACTGTTAGACATTACAGCTGCAAAGGTTAACCTGAAGGATTAAGGCCAAAACCAAAGGACCTTTTTTTAAAGTCATAGCAGGTTGATTAGATGGGTGCTTCGGGTTTTATTTGCCACGTCAAAAGATGTTGACCAACCTCAATGCAGCAACCCCCAACCAAGGAATCAAGTTTCAAACTAGTCTCATAAATCAAGTTTCATGCTAGGAAAAATAGGATACAGAATTTGGGAAACTGAAGAAATAAAACACCAACCATCCTTTATTTGGTCTAGTGATGAAGGCACCAGGCTAGAAACTGGGAAATCGGGAGTTCTAGTCCCGCCTTGGGCATGAGGGCCGGCTGAGTGACTTTGGGATAATCACCAGGAGACTGGGAGTTCTAGTCCATACTTAGGAATGAAAACCAGCTGGGTGACTTTTGGACAATCACTAGGAGACTGGGAGTTCTAGTGCTGCCTTAGCCATGAAAACTGGCTAGGTGACTTTGGGACAATTACCAGGAGACTGGGAGTTCTAGCCTACTTAAAAAAAAAAATACCTTGCACAGATAACATGGCAGATGTGGTTTGGTCTCCAACGATGCACGAATACTCTCCGCTGTCTTCGGGTTCCAGGTTAAGAATGAGTAACTCATGGATGCCCCTATTCTGTCGGATGTCATATTTGGAAGTAGCGTGAATTCTTGCACCATCTTTGCGCCACTCTGCTGGGGCTTTTGGGAGGGTCACCTCAC